ATCACAAGGTCAGAAGTTCAAGACCAGCCTGGCCAAGGTGGTGAAACCTGGTCTCTACTAAAAATACAAAAATTAGCTGGGCATGGTGTCACACACCTGTAATCTCAACTACTCAGGAGGCTGAGGCAGAGAACTGCTTGAACCCAGGAGGCAGAGTTTGTAGTGAGCCAAGATCGTGCCACTGCACTCCAGCTTGGTGACACAGACTCCTTCTCAAAAAGAAAAAAAGAAAAATTCCCCTTTCCATCCAAGAAATAATCCCAAACTAGGGGCTGAGTTTCACTGTTTGAAAAGTGTTTGTTTTCCGTGACCACTTCATGCATTAAACCTTTCATTTTCTTTTTTTTTTTTTTTTTGAGATGGAGTCTTGCTCTGTCACCTAGGCTGGAGTACAGTGGTACGATCTCAGCTCACTGCAACCTCCGCCTCCCAGTTCATGCCTCAGCCTTGCTAGTAGCTGGGATTACAAGTGCCTGCCACCACGACTGGCTAACTTTTTGTATTTTTAGTAGAGACAGGGTTTCACCATGCTGGCCAGGCTGGTCTTGAACTCCTGACTGCGAGTGATCCACCACCTCGGCCTCCCAAAGTGCAGGGATTACAGGCACGAGCCACCACGCCCGGCTGCATTAAACCTTCTTAACCCACTTGAGGACTAGGGGAAACCGAGTCCTGGAGAGGCCAAGTAAGCTGCCCACGATGGCCCGTCAGCTGAGGAGCAGGAAGGAGAGAAGCCCTGAGCCCCTGCCTGGTTACCGCCAGGCACTGTTGCTTCCCAGCTGAGCGCCATACTGAGCCTCAGTTCTTCCATCTCTAAAATGGGCATGATGATAGACCTTCCTTTTAAGATTACTGAGAGAGTCCAGGTAGCAGGGAGTCATGCCTGGTGTTACATGTAAACAAACAGCTGGTATTGCTGTTGTTATTTTAACAACTAAGACTCAACCAAGCCAGGCTAATCCCAGAGGCAAAGTTTTTATGCAGAGGACAAGCTTTTATCCAGTCCCACCAGCTAAAAGGGGTGGGAATGAGTGCACCCCCAACCACACTTACTCTGAGACACTCAACAAATACACAGCAGCTGCTTAGGACACACAAGGAAGTTAACTCAGCCCCTGATGACCTGGATTGCCAGGGTCAGACGTGCTCCTGCCAGCACAGCCCGGGGAGGAGGGAGTGTTTCGTGGGAGCTGCCTACCACCCCATCCTCCGCACCCAGTGAGGTCAGCACCCACTTTCCCACAGCTACTGGATAAACACCCACCCAGCAAACCCTGCCAGAGGCCCAGGGGCGGGGGCGCAAGTGTGAAAGTCCACAGCCCTCCACCGACTCTCAGTACAATGGGGGTAGAGACTGGAAAGAAATCATTGTCAGACAGGCGTGGTGGCTCAGGCCTGTAATCCCAGCACTTTGGGAGGCTGAGGCAGGCGGATTGCCTGAGGTCAAGAGTTTGAGACCAACCTGACCAACGTGGAGAAACCCCATCTCTACTAAAAATACAAAAATTGGCTGGGCATGGTGGTGCACACCTGTAATCCCAGCTACTCAGGAGGTTGAGGCAGGAGAATCACTTGAACTCGGGAGGCAGAGGTTGCTGTGAGCTGAGATCAGGCCATTGCACACCAGCCTGGGCCACAGAGTGAGATTCTGTCTCAAAAAAAAAAAAAAAATCATTGTCTCAGGCCAGGTGCTGTGGCTCATGCCTGTAATCTCAGCACTTTGGGAGGCTGAGGCAGGAGGATCACTTGAGCCTTAGGAGTTCGAGACCAGCCTGGGCAATACAGGGAGACCCTGTCTCTACAAAAAGTAAAAAAAAAAAAAAAAAAAATAGCCAGGCAGCGTGGTGTATGTCTGTGGTCCCAGCTACTTGAGAGGCTGAGGTGGGAGGATCTCTTGAGCCTCAGAGGTCAAGGCAGCAGTGAGCCGTGATCATGCCACTGCACTTCAGCCTAGGTGGAAGAAAGAAAAAAAAGAGAGACAGAAAAAAAGAAAGAGAAGGAAGGAGGGAAGGAAGGAAGGGAGGGAGGGAGGGAAGGAGGGAGGGGCAGGTTTTTCTCTCAACATAAGAACCATAGTGAAGACATGTGTGTCTGCCAGGTAAGGAAAGAAACACAGAGAAGAAAGGGGGGTTGGTGGGTCCCCCAGGAGCCTGGTTGGCTGGTTGGAAGCCAGAGGACGCACTGGACAAGGTCCAGAATGTGGACCTGCCTGGTGCCCTGCAAGGGGTCTCTCCTCATCCTCAAGTAGACACATCTCCCCCAGGGAAGCAGCCCTAAGCCACTCCTCCCTGCACGCCTCATGCTCCTCTCCCAGCCCCCTCCACCGCAGCCACAGCTGATGGGCAGGGGTGAGCACCTGGCCGAAGCCAAAGAAATCCACAGCTCGGCCAGAGCTCCACCCAAACTGGGCTTCCCCGGTGTGAACTGAAGATGCCAGCAAGAGACAGACAGGTGGGTGCGGACCTGGGCTGAGACCCACCTCCCCACCGGGAGGAGGCTGGGCTCAGGGACAAGGACTCAGCTGCCAACAGCAGGAGCAGCCAGAAAAATGTGTGCCCCGGGGGAAATCCACTTCCTCAGTTCGCCTCTGGCCCAGCAGTGGCAATGAGACCAACAAACTGCCACACACCAGCGCTGGTTCCCGCGGCTCTGCCACCGACTCTGTCAGAGGCTGGGGTCCACCGGAAGCCAAGGCCCCCACCAAAGGTCATCTCAGGTCTCACTTGTCATCCGGGCACTTAGGGTAAAAGGGGATATTTTCTTTTTCTTTTTTTTTTTGTTTGTTTTGAGACGGAGTCTCGCCCTCACTCTGTTCCAGGCTGGTGTGCAGTGGCGCAATCTCAGCTCACTGCAATCTCCACCTCCCGGGTGAAAGCATTTCACCCTCAGTTTCCTGCCTCAGCCTCCCTAGTAGCTGGGACAACAGGCGCTCACCGCCCCACCCGGCTAATTTTTGTATTTTCAGCAGAGACGAGGTTTTACCATCTTGGCCAGGCTGGTCTTGAACTCTTGACTTTGTGATCTACCCACCTCAGCCTCCCACAATGCTGGGATTACAGGCATGAGCCACCACACCCAGCCAAGAGGATACTTTCTGTGTAAGCCCCTCACGCTTTCCTGTCTCTCCCATCCCCTAACTCCACCACCACGAAGGCCTCCCTGCTCTCACCCACTCCAACAGCTGGGTTTTCCCTGGCACAGATAGCACAGCACAGACCCAGACCAGCCCTTTGCCACGTGTGTCCTGCCAGGCTGTTCTCCGAGCATGATTCTGGCCACACGGACCCATCAAGCGCCACCAGGGCTGTGGGCGTGTTGCATTGTGATGCACGGCGCTGCAGCAGCACAGAGGAGAGACCAACCAGCACCCTGGGGAGGGGCAGAGCAGAGGGTGGGAAGCCACAGTTTAGCTTCAAGCCAAGCAGAAGTTCTGGCCAAAGAGAACTGGCTCATACCTCCTGGACAGGGTGGCCAAGAGACAGGGCTTCAGCTGGGGCTGGGACACCAACTGGGCAATAAAATTAATGAAAATAATGATTGTGATATAACAATGTCGATGACACTCCTGGCCAACTTTACCTGCCAGACACTGATATGTGTTTCCTATAGATCAGCTCATCATCCTCATGTAGCAAACCTAGGAGGTGGGTCTATTACTGTCCCCATTTTATTTTATTTTATATTTCTTGGAGGTGGAGTCTTGCTCTGTCACCCAGGCTGGAGTGCAATGGCACGATCTTGGCTCACTGCAATCTCCTCCTCCCAGGCTCAAGCAATTCTCCTGCCTCAGCCTCCTGAGTAGCTGGGACTACAGGTGCATGCCACCACGCCCAGCTAATTTTTTTTTTTTTTTTTTTTTTTTTTTTTTTTGTATTTTTTTAGTAGAGACGGGGTTTCACCGTGTTGGCCAGGCTGGTCTTGAACTCCAGACCTCAGGTGATCTGCCGCCTCAGCCTTCCAAAGTGCTGGGATTACAGGCATGAGCTACCATGCCTGGCCTATTATCTCCATTTTAAAGATGAGAAAATTGAGGTTCAGAGGAGTGACATGACTCAACCAATGTCTGTGCTAAACTACAGTAAGATGATAGATAGATAGATAGATAGAGAGATAGATAGATAGATAGATAGATCCATCAATATCACATAGATCCTGTTAAACACTTGTATGGGCAAAAGGCTGTTGACCGCTCTCTGTGATTTATCAATCTATCATCTATTTATGTATCTGTCTTTCTATCTACCTACCTATCTATCTACCTACCAACCTGCCTACCTCTCTATCTATGTGATACAATGTGAAAAAGACTCTTCAGAGAACTGACGACGGGCTGATACCCGGAGCAGGCTGCGGGAGACCCATCGAGCTGATCTCCCATGCTGGGCCCTATTGGATGTCCTGACCTTACTCAGAATATCCACATTCCAGTTTGACTATCTGGGAATCACAGTAAAGGGGCATGGCGCTGCAGTTGACTGCTCAGCCCAGAGCACAGGGCTGGGTAACCTTATTCCCAAAGCGTTCTGAGGCTGGAGTCTGGAACGGCCTAGCTATGCACCTTGCCATCCAGCCCCACCCCCACCCCTGCAGCCAGGGACCCAGGGACCCAAGCAGCCCAGCTTGACGGTCCTGGGAGGCCCTGACTCCCTGCTGGGATGTTATCATCAGCAAAGCACCCAGGTCCTGGGGACAGCGTGGTCTGGGGCCTCTGCATTGGCCATTATTCTGGCGGGAAGCAATGCTTCTCCCTCCTGGCTGAAAGTCCAAGTGATCAGTTGTTCCCCAGCTCTGCACAGACTGACCTGCACACCCAAGCGGGCAGACACAGTAGGCCTGAGACCAGAAAGCTAGGGTGAGGCCCAGGCAGAACAGCCATTGGAATGGGATACCAGAGTATCCCAGATGACGCCCGGGGGTGGCGTGGACCGCTCGCCACAACAGAGTCTCCAACTGGAGCCTGGCTTCACCCGAGACAGCTGTGGCCCCCCCTCACCTCTTACCCCGTCCCAGGCGCCTCTGCCTGAGCTCATCAGGCAATGACCTCAGCGACGTCACTCATCACTCGGGAGGCCTTGGCCAGCTTGAAATCCAGGGGGCTCCGGGCGCCTGCCTGCTCCTCCCTCTCTCTCAAGCGTGACTCAGGCCGGTACTGGCCCTGGGCTTTGGAAAGGCTCTCCACTTTTTCGCAATCGCTTTCCTCACTCAAACCGCAGGCCCTATGGGGGCCCCCACCTCTGTCTCTCAACCCTCTGCGGTCAGGGTTCAGACGCTGGGCAGATGAAGACCCTGCGTACTTCTTCGGGAGGCCAACACCAAACCTCAGGAAATTGCCACAGTGAAGGGATGCTTCCTCCAGAGCCACCCTCTGCCCTGCACTACTGGGTCCTGTCAGAGCCTCTTCATCCTCCCTCCTCCTTCCTCTTCCTCTTCCCATCTCCTCCTCCCCTTTCCTCTTCTCTGGCCAAGAAAGTGACCTGATAACCAAATTCAACTGGTTAGTGATGGACCTGTAATTTTTCCAAAGCGTTGCTAGATCTCTGGTAATGGAACATGTGTTCATTCATTCACTCATTCATTCATGGAGGCATGGAAGAGCAGTTAAAATCATGGTCAGACACCCTGTGGGTGTGTTCCAGCTCCGCCATTTGCCACATTTGCAACCATGGCCCAGTGACTTCCCATCATTCCCCTATCCCCTCATCTGGGCTGTGGCTGCGGCTTGGTAAGATGAGGCTTGCTGGGTGCTTACAGCAGTCAGGACCCAGCCCAGGACAAGGTGATGATTAGGAGAGAGACTGAGGCTGGGCACAGTGGCTCATCCTTATATTCCCAGCACTTTGGAAGACTGAGGGGGACGGATCACCTATGGTCAGGAGTTTGAGACCAGCCTGGCCAAAATGGTAAAACGCTGTCTTTACTAAAAATACAAAAAATGAGCCAGGTGTGGTGGGGCATGCCTATAATCTCAGCTACTTGGGAGGCTGAGGCAGGAGAATTACTTGAACCAAGGAGGTAGAGGTTGCAGTGAGCCAAGGTCATGCCATTTGCACTCCGGCCTGGGCAACAAGATCAAAACTCTGTCACAAAACATATATATATATAGCCAGGCACGGTGGCTCATGCCTGTTATCCCGGCACTTTGGGAGGCTGAGGTGGGTGAATCACCTGAGGTCAGGAGTTCAAGACCAGTCATGGCCAACATGGTGAAAACCCGTCTCTACTAAAAATACAAAAATTAGCCGAATGTGGTGGTGGGCACCTATAATCCCAGGTACTTGGGAGGCTGAGGCAGGAGAATGCTTGAACCTGGGAGGCAGAGGTTGCAGTGAGCTGAGATCACGCCACTGTACTCCAGCCTGGGCGACAGTGAGATTTTGTCTTAAAATAAATAAATAAATAAATATATATATATGTATATTTCCTATTGGTTCTGTTTCTATTCTATATATAAACATGTATAGAATATATGTGTCTATGTGTGTAACTATATATATATATATATGCTTACATATTACCACATATAGTTTGTTTTTTTTGTTTTTTTGTTTTTTTTTTTGAGACGGAGTTTCGCTCTTGCTACCCAGGCT